TGTGGGTGGGTTTGCGGTACACCTCAGTTTGCAAATGTCCTCTATCAAAGACTGAGACCTCACAGTCCAAGAAAGCCAACTTGCCATTTTTTACATCTTCTCGTGTGAACTTGATGTATTTATCCACAGAGTTGATGTGGTCAGTGAAATGTTGGGACTTCCTGAGATTTGATTTTAACCCAGGTGTCGTCAACATACCTGAACCAATGACTTGGTGGTGTCCCTGAAAAGGACGTCAAGGCTCTCTTTTCTACCTCCTCCATGTACAGGTTGGCAACAATAGGAGAAACTGGAGACCCCATAGCACACCCATGTTTCTGCCTATAATATTGCTCCCCATATGTGAAGTAAGTTGACTGCAGGCACAGTTTCAAGAGTTGACACAGTTGTTCTGTGGAAAGCATGGTCCTACTGCTCAGAGTGGTGTCTGATTTTAATTTTAAACTGACCACCTCTACTGCATCATCAACAGGAATGCATGTAAAGAGTGATGTGACATCAAAAGAGACCATTGTTTCATCAGTATTATGGAAAATAATGACCTTTATCAAAATATGCTAATTTTTTTAGAAGGACCTGTACATGGTGTGCAATCCACCTCTGCTGATGGTGGACGCTTCAGATGCTAGGGAAAACGTGCTGGGCAGCTGGTAAAGCTTAAAGCCCTGTGCGCAGCATCTTCCTCTCCAGCTGGTGGTCATGGTTTCTATCGCCAGCTTCCCGCGTGCCCGGACCAGGTAAACCACGGGAGTTGTCAGCCGGTGCACCAGACGGACCGACACGGAGGGGCTGTTATTGAAAACCTGCAGCCATTGGCGCGCGCAAACTCCACCGCTGCTGGCTCCACTTTGGACAGTATCCGGATGTGTTTGGTCAATGCAAGATCTGTTACCAACAAAACTTTTCTCCTCAGGGACTACTTTCAAGAGCATGATTTGGACTTTTTCTGCATCAAAGAGACTTGGATGTCTCCGGATGAGTCCAGTGCCTTGATGGAACTATTGCCACCGAACTGTCTGTATTTTAACGCACCACGGCCATCAGGCCGGCGCAGTGGTCGATTATTAACAATATTCAAACCAACTTTTGACTGTTAACAACTGCCCATCCCAGTTTCCCGCGCAAGCTTTGAGATGAGCGTCTTTGAACTCGACCATTCGCCTTCGACTTTATGTGCGCTCGTTTACCGCCCACCTCGATCTTAAGACTTCATAAATGAGTTTTCTGATTTCTTGGCTGAAATCACACCAAAATATGATAATGTTTTCATTATTGGGGACCTTAATATGCATGTGTGCTGTCAGGAGAAGCCCTTGGTTAAAGACTTTTTAGATTTATTAGACTCATTTAATCTAACTCAGCATATAAACGGTCCCACCCAAGAACGCGGACATACACTGGACCTTGTTTTAACTCGTGATGTGACTGTTAGTAATCTTGAAATTGGTGATAATGTATTTTCAGACCACATGCCAGTCCAGTTTGAGTTCACCCTCCCCCATCTAACTCCTAAGCCATGCGTTCCTGCACTTAGGACCCAGGCCATTAACCACTTCACTGCCACACGTTTCACAGAGGTTTATAACTCTGAAATGATCATTCAGCCCCCGGTGTTTTTCACCACCAATGAGGAGCTGACATCCCAGTTCAACTCTGTCTGCTTAAAGACTCTGGATAATGTCGCTCCTGTTAAAATTAGAAAATCAAAACTCAGAGCAGAACCTTGGCTGAGTGATGTCACCAAGGCCATTAGGCAGCAATGTAGGAGGGCGGAGCGCAAGTGGAGAAAAGACAGGCTGCAGGTCTCTTTTCAAATACTTAAAGAAAGTTGGCGCCGCTATCAGAAAGCAGTAAAAGCTGATAAATCCAAATACTTTTCTGATATCATTACCTCAAACTCTCACAACCCACGTGTCCTCTTCTCCCCCCTAAACTCTGTTCTCCACCTCACTGAACCATCACCTCTGGAAGCCTCGACTGAGCTGTGCGACAACTTCTTACATTTCTTGTTGGAAAAAATTGCGACCACCCGGGCTCTCATTTCCCCTCCAACTCATGACCCATCCACCCCAACTCAATCTGTAGCTCTATTTGACCATTTTGAACCCATCACTCTATCTTCTCTAGAGCAGGTCATGTGCAGATGTGGTCCCCCTCGACTACTAAAGGAGGTTTTTCCTACTCTAGGTCCATCCATTCTTGCTATAGTAAACAGTAGTTAATCCACTGGTGTGGTGCCAAAATCATTTAAACATGCTGCTGTCCAGCCTCTCCTGAAAAAAAACAAACATTGACCCCTCAGTCATATCCAACTTCCGGCCTGTCTCCAGACTCCCATTTGTTTCCAAACTACTAGAGAAAATGGTCGAGTCCCAGTTGAAGTGCGTCCTAGAGGATCACACCATCTTAGAGCTATTCCAATCTGACTTTAAACCTCTCCATAGCGCTGAAACTGCCCTGCTGAAGGTCTTTAACAACATTTTCTTAACCACTGATACCGGTGATTCTGTGCTGCTTGTCCTGTTGGACCTCACAGCCGCCTTTGACACCATCAACCATGAGATCCTCATTGCTAGGTTGGAGCAGTGGGTGGTCATCACAGGGTCAACACTCAATTGGTTCAGATCCTACTTCGCTGACAGATTTTTTTTTGTGTCTCCATCAAGGATTTTAGTTCTGCAGCGACAGAGCTTAAATGGGGGGTTCCGCAGGGGTCCATCCTGGGTCCCCTCCTATTCTCTTTATACCTGCTGCCACTTAGTGCTATTTTCCGGAAACACAACATACCCTTTCACTTCTACGCCTATGACTGTCCAATTTACTTCCCCCTAAGACACAATGGTACATGCTCTATTCAACCTCTGCTCGACTGCCTGGCTGACATCAGGGACTGGATGGCTTTAAACTTCTTAAGTTTCAATGAAAAGAAGTCTGAAGTCATGTTGTTCCCTCCCAACGACATGATCACAAACCACTGCATCGACCTCTCCACTCTATCCCTGTCAGAAAAACAAAGAGCCACTAATCTGGGAGTGATAATGGACCCTTCCCTGAAACTTACCAATCATGTAAACATGATTGTTAAATCATGTTTCCTCCAACTGAGGCGGCTGTCTAAACTGAAGCCCATATTGTCCAAAAATAACCTGGAGACAGTAATACATGCATTCACTACATCTAGGCTTGATTACTGCAATTCACTTTTGTTTGGTATCAGTCAGACCTCCACTGCACGACTACAACTGGTCCAGAATGCAGCAGCCCAATTTTTAACCAGTACAGGCAAAATAGAGCACATTACACCAGTTTTGGCCTCACTGCACTGGCTACTGGTTCACCTTCGAATCCAGTTCAAAATACTCCTGTATGTCTACAAATCGCTGAACAGTTCGCCCCCCCCACCCCCCCACCCCCATCTCCCTGATTTGCTAAAACCGTATGTCCCTCCACGTTCCCTGAGGTCAGCGGACCAATTGCTCCTCACAGTTCTAGGAAGTCGTCTTAAGCGCAGAGGTGACAGGGTCTTCTCAGTAGCAAGACCAAGACTTTGGAACGAGTTACCTCTGCTTGTCAGACAGGCCCTCTCCCTCTCGGTTTTCAAGTCCCATTTAAAAACTCACTACTATTCAGTAGCTTTCAACACCAGAGGATCTGTGTTTTGAACCTGTATGCTCCACACTGGTTTGTCATCATATTTATTATCTGCATTGTTTTTACGTTTATATTCTAATTTACTTCATTTTGTATATTGCTTTGTGTGTTACCTGTTGTTCTGCCTGTACAGCACTTTGGTTGGCCTTGTTGATGTTTTAAGTGCTCTATAAATAAAATGGTATGGCATGTCTTCAGCAAACTGTTTGCGGGCTTTCTTGTGTACAGACTTCAAAAGAGGCTTCCTTCTGGGATGACGGCCATGCAGACCAGTTTGATGTAGTGTGCGACGTATGGTCTGAGCACTGACAGGCTGGACCCCCCACCTCTTAAGTTTCTGCAGCAATGCTGACAGCACTCCTGCACCTATCTTTTAAAGATGGATGTGATGCTGAGCACGTGCACTCAGCTTCTCTGGACGACCAACGCGAGGTCTGTTCTGAGTGGACCCTGCTCTTTTAAAACACTGGATGATCTTGGCCACTGTGCTGTAGCTCAGTTTCAGAGTGTTGGAAATCCTCTTGTAGCCTTTGCCATCTTCATGTAGTGCAACAATTCGTCTTTTAAGATCCTCAGAGATTTCTTTGCCATGAGGTGCCATGCTGGAACTTTCAGTGACCAATATGAGTGTGAGAGCTATACTATAAAATTGTACACACCTGCTCCCTATGCACACCTGAGACCTAGTGGCACCAACGAGTCACATAACATTTTGGAGGGAAAATGACAAGCAGTGCTCAATTTGGACATTTAGGGGTGTTGTCTCTTAGGGGTGTACTCACTTTTGTTGCTGGTGGTTTAGACATTAATGGCTATATATTGAGTTATTTTGAGGGAAGAATAAATTTACAGTTATATAAGCCGCACACAGACTACTTTTCATTGTGTCAAACTGTCATTTTGTCAG